TGGCTGAGTACTGGCTCCACCCCCCCCCCCTTATCCCCCAGACAGTGCAGATCCTCATTGGCCTCATCCACTTGGGCTTCGGCAGCGTGCTGCTTATGGTCCGGCGCGGCCACCTGGGCATGCTCTTCATCCAGGGCGGCGTCCCCTTCTGGGGAGGATCCTGCGTAAGTGGGGGCCCAGGATGCCTTCGTGAGTGGGGCCACATCCGGGCCCCAGCCTGGCCCCCAGTGACCCCTATCTGCCCCACTCCCACATCCGGGAGCTTCTGGCCTGCAGAGCCTACCCAGGGGCAGGACTACAACGTAAGAGCCAGACGTGCCCCTGTGCCACCTGCTTCCCTGCCCCCCGCCCCTATGGACCCTGCTCAGCTTCCCAGGGCCCAGCGCTCTGGACTCCTTGCTGGGCTCTGACCTGCTCTGGATGCCGTGGCTCCTCCTTCCACCCCCCAGCAGGTCACCCAGGGTTCTGGGGACCTGGTGACTCCTGCTGTCCCCTGAGAGAGGGAGGGCTCGGGGCTGGGGGGTGGGGAGACACTGGGACACTGGTAGGAGCCCTCCGAGAGCGCCGTGTCTGCCTTCAAGACCCAGGGCACCTGGCCAGAAGGGGGGCGGTGGCAGTGGGAAGCTACGCCTGTGTCCCCTCCATGCCCCACCTCCTCCCACAGTTCATCCTCTCCGGGTCCCTGTCGGTGGCCGCTGAGAGGAGCCACACCAGCTGCCTGGTAAGTCAGGGCGAGGCGGGACCTGCGGGAGCGACCAGCATCCCCGGAAGAGCCCAGGGGAGGAAGGCGCTACTGCAGGAGAGGAGGAGCCAGGGCCGCGAAAGGAAGGCACAGGACAGGGCTGGGGGCTCACCAGTCTGGGTAGGGAGACCTCTCCCCCCAGCACAGGAAAGGAGCCGTGGCGCGGCGCTTACCTGCCACCCCAGCACTCTGGGAGGCTGAGGCAGGAGGATCACAGGCTCAGGGCCGAACTGGGCGATTTAGAGAGGCCCTATCTCCACAGGAACGATGGGGAGCGCTGGGGGATGCATCTTGTGCCTTCGAAGGCCCAGGGTTCAACCCCCGGTGCTATCTGAAGCAAGGGCACCTGTGGAGGCTGCGACAGGCCCAGCCCCTCCATCCCGTCCCATGTCCCTGTCCCCGTCTCTTGCTCTCTTCCCGCAGGTGAGGAGCAGCGTGGGCACCAACATCCTCAGCGCCACGGCGGCCTTCGCGGGGACGGCTGTCCTGCTCATGGACTTCGGCGGCACCAGCTGGGTAACTGAGGCAGGGGCGGGGCGGGGCCGCCGGGCATTGTCTCCGCAGGGAGGCTCCGTGGTGTGACCAGCCTGCGGTCCCCCCAGGACGTGGGCAGAGGCTACCTGGCGGTACTGACCATCTTCACCATCCTGGAGTTCTTCATTGCTGTTGTCGCCACCCACTTCGGGTGCCAGGCTGCACGCGCGCAGGCCAACGCGGTGAGCGCCCCGGCCATCGGCGACCAGCGTCTGGGAAGGCGGAGAAAGGACGCGCAGGACAGGACGCAGGGAGGGAGACTGGGAGGCGGGGCGCCCCTGCAAGCCCCAGCTGGGGTCTGTCTGTGTACAGGCCAGCGGGAGTGGGAGAGGGGTTGGGGTTGGGCTGGCGGTGGGGGGACCGCGTGCCTTGGCCGGGGACGGGACGTTAGCGCAGGGGAGGACGTTGCCAGGGCTGGGAGGATCAGGCCCAGCGCAGCCGAGGCCACCCGCGACCCCTGGTGAGAACCTTGGGGGGGGCTGGGCTGGGGACTCAGCACAGGGGCCAGGCTACTAAGCAGCCGGAGCCCAGGGCCAGGCCAGCCATCTGTGCAAGACATGCGGATAGCTACTGTCCAAGAACTCTGGGAGACTGAGGCAGGAGGACCGCAAGTTACAGCCCAGCCTGGGAAACTTAACAGCACAGCGAGACCCTGTTTCGAACAGCAGCAGGAGAGGGCGGGTGGTGTAGCTCAGTGCCAAGGCCCCGGGCTGATCCCAGGGCTGAAACAAAGGTCTGGAGCCCAGAGCAGCAGGACCCTGCGCTCTCTCTCCCCGCAGTCGGTGATCTTCCTGCCCAGCACCTTCGGCACAGACTTCGCAGTGCCCAGTCCGGCCGCCTCCCCGCCGCCTGCCTACGATAACGTGGCCTACGTGCCCAAGGAGTGCTCCGAGTAGCGGAGCGGAGCAGCCCAGCGCACCCCCAGCTGCTTCCCCTCACTCCGCCAGCCTCTCCGCCCGGCTGCTCCGTCTGCACTGCCCAGCAGGGGCGCTGTGCACACAGCCTAGGGACTCCTTCCGGAAGACACCTGCTGGTGTCCAGGGCGTGTGTCCCCCAGCCCTCCAGGGACGCCCTGAGCACCAGTGCCCCGGGGGGGGGGGTGGAGGGGACCGTGGCTCTGCCACCACTCTGGCCTCAGATTTCCCCCTGGAATCCACAGCCTGGAAGCAGGAAGCGGAGCACAAACTTTTCACAAAAGAAAGCTGGAGAACTTCAAGTAGATTCCCAGAGGTAGTATAAAGCAGTAATTCAGACAGTACAGTTTTAGTACAAAAATAGTCAAATACACCAATAAAACAAAATTGAGAAGCAAACCCCATGCACAAAGCAATTTCATCTATGACAAGAGACCACCTGCAGTCGGGTGGGGAGAGAATATCTTCTTGTGATAAATAGCTCTTGTCTATGGCCACACCACCCCGAACACCCCTGGGCTCATGTGTAATAAATAGTTCTGCAGTAACTGGATGAAAGACAAGACAAAAAAAAGGCCGGGGAGATAGCTCAGTAGAATAAGCGCTTGCCTGGCAAGCTCAGGGTCCTGAGTTCAATCCCCAGTACTAAAAAAAAAGTGAATTCTACTCTTCCTTACATCATAATTAAAAATGGAACATAGATTCAAATTTTACAATTAAAACAACTTGAAAAAATAAGAAAAATCCTACTTTGGAATAAGCAAAGATTTCTTAAGCTACACACACACAACTGTAAAAGGTGAATAAATTGGAGCATGTTAAAATTAGAACTCTGTATCAAAAAGCACCATGGTAAGTAGAGAACAAAACACAGACTGGGAAAATTACCTTGACATTTGTGCATCTGGGGGGGTCTTGCATGCAGAATGCATAAGCAGCTCTCGAGAGTAAGTAAGGAAAGGGGAGCCTGGTGGGTTTTAAATGCACCAAGGGCTTCAGAGATTCCCCAACAGGAAGTCACGGTGGCTCATAAACGTGCACAGCACCACAGACCCTCAAGGCATGAGCACTCCAGCGAGACTCCACAGCACCTCCTGACAGCCATGATTGCAAACACCTCCTGCTGACGTTGGCGACTTGAGGGCTCAGCTGGTGTGTTATGGTGTGTGTCTAGTTGTCCCCCCAAAGCCTCATGCAGTTATAGGACAGACCTCCAGAGTTGTGCTTAATTCATGATACAGGGCTGGGATTATGAGTGTGAGTGCTGCTGGGATTACAGGTGTGAGTGCTAACCTGCCCTGGGGCGAATAGCCAGAAGGCAGTGTAAGGGAGACAGACTTGCTCTCTGTGGCCACTGCGCTCCCTCTTTGCTCTAGCTGCCTTCAGCTGCGATGAGCTGCTGCCCTCTGCCATGTGCCAGTCTGCCTTGGAACTAGCTGAATATGGACTGAAAGCTCCATAAACTGAGCTAAATAAACCTTTCCTTCCTTAATTTGGGGTGTTGGGCATTTGGACCCAGCAATGACAGAAAAGTAACTAAGACAAGGTGGGAGGACACAGGAAGTGCCGCCACTTTGGGAAATATGGGGCCACATCTACCAGAGCTGGGCACATGCGCAGGTTTGGACCCAGAAGCTCTGCGCCAGGGCATGCTGCTGAGGGAAGTGAGTGGACACGCACCGGAGACGGGTCCAGGGCAAAGACTAGCAATGTCTCCAAAGCCCAGCAACAGCAGAACGGGTGCACACCCGTGCAGAGAATGCAGCGAAAGATACAGTGAAACTTGAAATTTGTTTTTAAATGGATTATGGCAGAACACACGTGCGCATTGCCACCCCCTCAGTTTGGACACATTCATCCCATGGTTCTTGCCATTTTCTGCAGCAACTCTGGAGTCCTCTTTCATGAGTATGTTTATTTGTGCTGTTCTGGCCGCCTCCATGTCCTGGATCAAAGTGTCCTGACACTTCCTTTTCATGGTCATTTTCTCTTTGAAGAAGAGCTAACATTGCACAGTGCCAGGTCTGGCAAATAAGGAGGATGAGGGAGGACATCATGTTATGTTTTTGTGGGGCGGGGGTGTGGCCGGCTCAGCCTGCCCTGGGTGCGAGGCTGGCACAGCATGTGGTATGGTCCCTTCATTTGCCTAAACTTGCCTAAGCAGGCACTTTAGACTGCTGAGTTAGCTCACCGGCCCCTATTTTTATGTATTTGTACAAAGCTAAAACTCACAGTGATCCTCCTGTTGTCAGCCTCCCAAGCACTAGGATTACAGGTGTGCACCACCATGTCCAGGCTCAGGGCCAGCACAGTGTGCCCGGGGGTGGGGCCAGCACAGCATGTGGGGCTGGGACCGAACCCTGATCTCTGTGCTTGCATAAGCAGGCCCTTAGTCCACTGAGCTATACCTCAGCCCACCACATTGTTTTCATTTGACAGAAATTGTCAGAGACACTTGTTCAAGAGGAGTGCTCAAGTAATATGGTAAATATTTAAATAAGCAATTTTATTGCTATACAAGACTTTGTTCTAGGTTCTATCAGAAATGTCAAGGTGGTGACCTAGCACGGCGGTCTCCGCACCAGGCTCTAGAGAGCGAGGTCGCCGGTTCGTGCCCCCGTCCTGACTCTTTCTATTTGGGGCCGGAGAGATGGCTCAGTGGAATAAGCGCTTCCCTGGCAAGCGCAAGGGCCTGAGTTCAATCCCCGGTTCAGAAAAAAAAAAAGAAAGAAAGAAAGAAAGAAAGAAAGAAAGAAAGAAAGAAAGAAAGAAAGAAAGGTCACCCAAAGGCCTCACATACTCATAGGCCAGGCTTCTAGAAGGTGACGGAGTCACAGGGACACCATAGATGACTCCCTGTTAGGAGGTATGGCCCAGTCAGCACAGTGGTCCCTGGGGACTTGGCCAGCTGGAAGCTGTCACCAGAAGCTGCCGTCTCCCTCCCCGCCCCCTTCTCTCTGCCTCCTATCCACCGTGCCTTGGCAGCTCTCCCCCACCAGTCCCCTCTGTCATGCTGATTCTGTCCAGGAGACACCAGCTGTGGGCTACAACCAGGAATCAAAACAAACCTCTCCCACTTTTAGCTGAGGGTGTTGGGATTGTGTCACATCCACACCTCCATATTCCGTGTCCCTTCAAATACTCTATCCTAATGCTCTGGGCAATGGGGCCTGTACTGTCCAAGTTACTTTAAATTTAAACATTCCTGGGCTGGCCAGATAGCTCAATAGTCTAAAGCACCTGCTTAAGCAAGCTTAGGCAAGAGCAGGGACCATGGTTCGAAATCCCATACCACATGCAGTGCCAGCCCTGCCCTCAGGGCAGGCTGAAGCAACCACCAGAAAGGAAGAAAGGAAGAAAGGAAGGAAGGAAGGAAGGAAGGAAGGAAGGAAGGAAGAAAGAAAGAAAGAAAGAAAGAAAGAAAGAAAGAAAGAAAGAAAGAAAGAAAGAAAGAGTAAGAAAATTAAACACTCCCTGCATGTCTTGACCACCCTTGTAAACTATGGGGTACTCATTTAAAAGGAAAAAAAAGAGAGAACGTACGCCTGGATGCTGGTCTAAGACATGGAGGGACCCCGGCAGGCCCTGCTAAGCACTTCAAGCACTGATAGCTGCCCCATGGGGACGGACAGGAGCAGGAGGCCCAGGGACCAGCAGCGCCACACACGCACAGAGGGAACACACCAACCAGCGTGGACAAAGCCCTGCACTCTTCTGTGTGTGTCCCTTCAGGTTTTGTTTTGTTTTTTTTTTTAATGGAATCTGGACGTGGTGGCACATGCTGTAATCCCAGCACTGAAGAGGCTGAAAACAGGAGGATCACCATGAATGCAATATTCACAGTGAGACCCTGTACCAAATACACAAATGAAAAAAATTATTTTTTATGTATTTGGTACAGGGTCTTCACTACACGGCTTGGACTCGCAGTGATGCCCCTGTTTCAGCCTTTCCAGAGCTGAGATTATAGCCACGCCCATCTTGGTGGCTCTGTGCACCTGGGGTGGACTTGGCATGGCATGTGGTACTGGGGACTGAACCCGGACCCTTGGGCTTGCCGAGCTATCTCTGTGCCCCACTCCCTGTTCTTAAAAAGCAGAAAAGCAGTAGGTAACAGCCCTGGTCCCACAGCTGGCACGGGTGCTGGGTTCCCATCCGGACAGTCCCCTCCTGGGCCCACTGCCTGGACCTGGTGGGTTGAACGGTGGCTTCTCAGCTGTCCCATTCGCTCTGTCCTTGCCACACAATGCAATTGCTGCCTCCTCCAAGCTGGGGGTACACCGCTGGAGCTCATCTCCGGCCAGCAGCAGTGTCCCCAGCAACAGATTCCTGGAGGTGGAGGGAAGAGGTCCCAGAGACTCTGCCACCGTGGCGCAGCTCCTCTGCATTCAGGCAAGCAGGAAGGACCTCGAACCCCACTGCTCCATCGCTGACAAGGACGACCCTCTGCTCCCCAGATATCACCATGGCTGCTGTCTTCCTGTCACCCCTGAGGGCTCCCATGTCCATCTCCGGCCCAGGCCTCTCCCAGAGCTGGCTGAACCCCTCTCCTGCTATCACCTTTGTCCCTGTGGACCCACTGTGGCCGGGCCAGCTTGGGCAGTGGTGCCTCCCTCCGCGGCCTGGCCAGCACAGTCCTCTCCCACTCCCGTGCTCTCCCTCCCTCCCTCCTACGCCCCGCACCTGGCACATGGCCCCTGCCTGGCTCACTAGAGGAGAGGTAACCAAGCCCTGCTGTCCTCTGTCCCGGGGGAGGGGATAGTCCGAGCTCTGGCCAGGCTCTGGGGACACAGCTGCCAGACTGGCCTCGCCTCCCTCACCTGCTTGTCCTGCTGGGCCAACATCCTCCATCCTCCTCTGCTTAGAAACCCCCTCCTGCGGGGAGCCCACAGCTTCCACTCCCCTCATCTGTCCCTGACCTCCGAGGGACTCTCAGGAGGCACCCCACCCGGGCTCTGCCCCTGGCCCTGCGGCTGCTGCACCGCTCAACACCGCTCTTCCTGGCTTCAACCAGGCAGATTTCCTGTCGCACTATTCTGAGGTCCAAAGCCCTAAAATCAAGGAGCTGGAGTGGGGGACCCCAGTTCCAGGCCTTTGTGTCCACGGCCTGGGCCCCTCCTCCGCCTCCCAAGGCCTGGCTCTGGTCCTTCGTCACGCTGGCTCCCGCCAGGTCCTTAGCAGCCACTCCTGGGCAGAAGCCGCTGTCCACGCAGGGCTGGGTGTGGGTGTTGGGACGCCTCTTGCGGGCACACTCTGGACACCTGGGCCAGGCTGGCGTGGCCACCCGGTGCCTGTGCTGCCCCGGAGCTC